GGCTGCCCACGCCCTAACTGCATAAACTTTGCGGCATTATTAATTAATAAATTAAAAATGCGAAAAACGAGGTTATGATTTTTGATGAGTTTGCAAGAATGCCCGAATTAATTGATGTTGACATGGCATTCTTTTTGTTTGAACATTCGTAAATTGGCCTCGTCCTCACAATTCGTCAGAACATTGAAAACAGTATCGTAAACGAAAGTCCTGCAACAATTTGTTGAGACCTCGGAGCGATGTGGTGCCGTGGATCGGGGCTTTATTCGCAAAAATCCACACTCACAACTACAACTTACAAATCCCATCGACTCGCGGCGTCAAAGGACATTTTCACATCTTTCTGCTCTACCAACTTGTGGCAGCTGCATGCGAATTCTTCAAAAGACGCTTCACTTCACTTGGTTGTGCTCAAAGCTGCTCAGTTTCATCAACTTCCTCATCACGACGCCTGCAGTCGTTGTGCTCAGCTCGACAATGCAGACGAGACAGATTTATGAAAACCAGCCAAACGGATTTTTCAATTGACGCTCCGGCCAGAAAAGCTGTGAAAAGTGACAGGATAGTGACGAAATGGGGCTGAAATGAAACGAGAAAATGCATTTAAAGTGAATAAATTATTTTTCAGTTTACAAGTGAGTTTACAAGACTACCAGCAGATGATGCAAGCCTATTTCGTCAGTTACATTTCCCAAAATCCTATAAGTAGACCTTCAGTTTCCATGCAATTGTACACATCTTCGCCTGACAAAAGATATTCTCGTCCAGACAGGACTCGAACCCGTACAATCTCGACACATTAACTACTACAACGCAATGGCTCGAGTGTGCGTGGTTGACAGTATACTAATCGACTATACTACTTATTTTGCGTCTAAAAGTAGGTTTTCCACAAGAAAAATACGACTTTTAAAATTAAAATAAGTGGTATAATAGTAAATACAATTTAGCGTTATGGACAAAACAACCCACATAATGTGCTATGGGATTCATATCTTCCCTGTCACTCATGCGCACCCGAGCCATTGTGGTGTAGTAGTTAATGTGTCGAGTTTGTACGGGTTCGAGTCCTGTCTGGACGAGAATATCTTTTGTCAGGCGAAGATGTGTACAATTGCATGGAAACTGAAGGTCTACTTATAGGATTTTGGGAAATGTAACTGACGAAATGGGCTTGCATCATCTGCTGGTAGTCTTGTAAACTAAAAATTAATTTATTCACTTTAAACGCATTTTCTCGTTTCGTTTCAGCCCCACTTCGTCACTATCCTGTCACTTTTCACACCTTTTCTGCCCGACACGTCAATTGGAAAATCTGCTCTTTTTGCAATCACTGTGTTTCTCATCAACAATCACACGACAGAACGTGAAAGGGAAAAATGCCTATACTTCCTTGAAATTCCCATCTTCTCTGTCACCCAAAGGCACTTGTAGCAGTCTGAAGTGGTATTTGGCGTGTCGAGATTATACGCTGCACAACCATAAGTCGCGATCGAGTCCCGTTTGGGGTAATGATGAGACCCGTTGAGGTGAAGTCGAAACTGTGGCCCACTCTTGCCCGGACGAGCATTGCCTTTGTGAAGCAAGGCTATGCAAAATTTAATTGAAATGTAAGGTTTACTCACACCATTGTGTGAAAATGTGAATACCATCCCTTCATTATCATACACGAAATATGGGAAATATGTCTCCTTTTAAAAATGGATGTATGAACTGGTCAACGGGATGAATAGACAGATAAATGGGGGCAGTTGTGTGGGAATTAACGAAAGCGTCATTGTCGAAACAACCAAATGGAAAAAACGAATGAACGAATAAATGTATGAATAGAGCAGTCGAGTCATGGGGGCAGAAAGCTATGTTGAGTTGCGATAAAGAATTGTAAAGATGTAAAGATAGTACAGAATGTGTGAAAATCATGTCGATGTAATATTGCATGAAAGAATGCATGGATTGTGTCGATTCAATTTTTCAATCTGCACAAATCGCTTCCTCATTTGTAATGAATTAATCTTGATAACAGGTTTAAGGAATTCATTAAATTTGCATCGCATAATCTTTTTTGTACTTTTTTTCCTGCATGTGTACAGTCTCCTGTGTGAAACAGAGAGAATCCGCATCCATCTCGAAGGTAGATTTTGGCTTACGTGACAAGACACTTGCATAACTGTTCTAGTAACAATGTGCTCACTGGTCTCTCGCCCACCCCATTTCGTCTACCAGTTTGTTTACTAAGCTTTATGTCTATCTATCTATCTATCTATCTATCTATCTATCTATCTATCTATCTATCTATCTATCTATCTATCT